CTGTAGGAAGTATTACTTAAAAGAGCAGCTGACCTTGTTGAAGCCCTATATGGAATGCCCCACAACAACCAGGTAGGTCACCAGTGCTTTTTTCATATACATGCATACATATGTAAATCAGTACCTTGTATTTGCAAAGTTGGCAAAATATCAACACTTTCTTTTTGTACACAGTGTAGATGTGCCAGCCACCTTGAGGGCAGTCTGATACGATGCAGTGCTCCAAGGGAAATGCTTCATCTTCGCATTTTCTTCTTACAGCTAGTTTTCCTATCAGAAATGACAATTAAGTGTAAAGTGCCAAAAACATAAGCAATCATTAAGACAAGAGAATAACCTTGAACTTGGTCCAAAATATACAGTGACTAATGGGAAATCCTAAGTAAATCTGCTAAACAGAGCAGATAAAACATACTGTATTTTGCAAACTAATGGAAAAACATTGCTGCAGTCTCCAAATAAAGTATATTTTTACAATTTTCACATGAGTAACAGCACTAGACCAATATTTTATGTTAACTTCTTCACTGCTTTATATTGCTTATGCTGATAGGAAAGTGTACATAACTTCAGTAACCAGGAGGAAGAATAAAAAGTTCAATCACAGCCACAGAAACAAATATTAAATCCCCACATCCACCATAATCTTACCATAATCTCTACCATTAATGATAATGTTATTCCAAATTAGGGCATTTCATAGGGTATCTGTGACATAAACAAGTACGCTACATGTTAGCAATTAATTCTTTTACTGCTTTGTAGGAAATAATCCTGAAACGAGCAGCTGACATTGCTGAAGCATTATACAGTGTGCCACGCAATCACAACCAGATTCCTACTCTTGCCAACACTCCAGCTCACACTGGCATGATGGGAGTGAACTCATTTAGCAGCCAGCTAGCAGTTAATGTTTCAGAAACATCACAAGCTAATGACCAAGGTATGTGGGGTTTTAAGAGTTAATGCTTCATGTTGTTGACTGTTCTTAGACAACGTCTATTAATACAGTACTGGCTGATGCCATCACAATGCTCTGTCTTTCTCCTCCTCCTCCTCCCTTTAGTCCTATCTTTGATCATGTAATGGAGTGTATCTTTAAATTCCAGATAACACTTAATTCTTCCCTTTCTTTGGTTTTCTTTTTTCATGAAGCATCTCCAATGAAAAGTGCAAAATGCAGAAATATATGACAGCACTTTATTAACATGAAATTTGAAATGTGTATATAAACACATAATATATTTATATTACAAAGCAACTATGTCTGGATATCCTCCATATGTTTATTGAACATTTACACAGACAAATCTAATTTGCCCACACTGATATTTTTAGATATTTTTATAAATGTAAATGTAGGTATGTCATATATAAAAATACAATCCTTGTAACTTAATTTAAATTTTCTAACTTAACATACATATAGCAAACTGCATTTTAAATTAAGTTTTATACTAATGAAAGGAGTAAAAACAGCTTCCTAGGTATGTACAAAACCATATATTTTTGCTTACAACATAATTATAAATTGATTGCACAGATGAGAATAAATTCATGCTAATCTTCTATGGTTTGAAATCCCAATTCTGCTTTGTCTCCTCTTACAAAAGAATGTGTCTTTTAATCAACTTTCAAGCTATAAATCTCATAAACATTCTCCACCTTGATTCCGGGTTAGTTTTCACAGAAACATGCACCTTTATGAAAGTACTAGCTTATTGTTAGTATAAAAATATCAATCATAAAAATGAAGACCCCAAAACAGCCTTTTAAAGTTAAATCACTGCAACAAACAAGTTTTTTCCTGTCAGCTATGGCATTTGAAGGTCTGGAGAGGCTGAAAGTTCATCCAGTATGTTGGTACAAACCAGGAATCAAGCCTGTTGATAATTGCTACTAAAGACAAATGTGAAGGAAACTGACACGCTTGGATCGAAGAGAGCTTTTGTTGGCTGTCTATGCTAGGAGGAGAGACAACACAGAGTGCTCGCAGATGATTTAAGTAAGGTTGGCATGATAAGGTTATCTTAAACTGCAAGAGTTGATAGGGCAGTAACAGACAACTTAGAGCAAAGCTGTGCAATCAATTAAAACTCTGTAATATATGATGCATGAGGAACCCCCCCAGCCCTCTAAGTTTATATTATAAATAATAACATTATTTTTTTCGGGGTGGGGGGTTTTCTAACACAGTAGGTTACAGTCGCAACACAAGCAGTGTTTCCCCGCGAGGATATGTTCCAAGCAGTACTCCTCAGCAGTCCAATTACAACACAGTCAGCAATAGCATGAATGGATATGGCAATGCCGGCATGCCCAATCTAGGTGTACCAGGTTCCCCTGGATTTCTTAATGGCTCCTCAGCTAACTCTCCTTATGGCAGTAAGTGTCTATTTTTGGTAACACATCATCATATAGATTCATGTTTATTACAAAATCAGATACTTGCATTGTTTTGATTTTTATAATGTGAGCTACTGGATAAAAGGAGGGGTGACTCTGGAGGCTGGACGTAAAAATGAATATAGTAAATTGATCTTTATTTGCCATAATACGATCTCAGAGACAAAAAAATCGGACTGCACAATTTGTAACAAAAGTCCAACACAAAAGAGTTTGCCTGTTATCCAGAGAGTGGCCAAGCCAAGGCATTTCATTATTTTTATTTTTATATATTATATATATATATTTTTATTCCAATATTTTAAGAGGCAAGGCCCTATCACTCTCTTTTTCCATGTTTGCCATGAAAAACCTCAATCTGAGTCCTGATTATTTTTGCTTTATTGCAGTAGTGCCGTCAAGCCCTACAATGGCAGCCTCTTCGGTCACCCTCCCTTCAAACTGTAGCAGTACACACGGCATTTTCTCATTCTCACCTGCCAATGTCATCTCTGCAGTGAAACAAAAGAGCGCCTTTGCTCCAGTTGTCAGGCCCCAAGCCTCTCCTCCACCATCTTGCACCAGTGCAAATGGAAATGGACTTCAAGGTGAGCTGGATCTCTCATTTTTTTGTGTATTGCAGGCTTTTTAGTGCATACACTAAAACTCTATAATCATGTCTTTTTGGAGAGCAGTGCCTTTTGACCTAAACTGAAATTAGAAAGGACAACAGTCTTAGTTTTCTGGTTCTGCAATATAAATGCAAGAATGTCATACTAAAAACAGTAGCACAAAAATATGCTAAAATTTGAAGCAAATCCTAGTTTGATTTTAATTCTTGCGTTAAAGGATATAGTAGCTGCTTTCCTGGCATTTTCCCTTTAGGTTAAATAAATTAAACTTTAAACTAAACACACGTCTCTGAATGCTCCTTACAGATCATGTACACTCCTTGCATTTCTTTATACATTCTCTGCATACATTTTTGATGAACATTTTTAACTGTAGTATTACAGAATAATATATTTTCCCCTATTTGTACGCATGATGTAATTGTTATTTTAACATATGTCAAAAAATGAAAACTGGTTGAAACTGTTGCTCAATGGGCTGGCCTTCCCTGGTATTGACTAACCAGATTTAACCAATTTGCATGTCTTGTTGGGCTTTATGGGCCCATTATTGCCATGTTAAACTAGATACAGGATTTGGGCCTATGTGAAAAATGAAAGGTTTTAATTAAAACAGGTAACTCTAAGCTTCTGCTTTTTTGTTTGTGTGATTTTGTATGGGCATTATCATGGGTATTTTTATAAATCAGTTACAGAATTCACTTGGTCACCTAATGGCATTGGGGCAGAATTATGGTGCAATGCAAATTTATAAGAGGAATAAGAACATCCACAAAGGGCTTTCCCTTTTTATGACATTTCTCAAAGTATGGATGATAAGTAATGCCTGATTAATTTGAACAGTTCAAAAGGGTTAGTTGCCTAACTGTTTCAAATATAAGGCCCAATCATAGAATATCAGGGTTGGAAGGGACTTCAGGAGGTCATCTAGTCCAACTCCCTGCTCAAAGCAGGGCCAATCCCCAGACAGATTTTTGCCCCAAATGGCCTCCTCAAGGATTGGACTCACAACCCTGGGTTTAGCAGGCCAATGCTCAAACCACTGAGCTATCCCTCCCACAAGTCTCTGTGCTGAATTGAAACACTTCATCTCCCACTGAAGTCAGATGGGATTGCAGGCACTGAAACCTCCCAGGTTTAGATCCACATTTCCCCATAAAAATTTACAACATTATTGTTTACATTGCAATAGTGCCCACAGTATACCAGGCATTTTCCAAACACAGATGAAAACATAGGCCATGGTTTTCAAAAGTGATTAGTGATTCTGCATTCCTTAATTTTTGGGTGTCCAACTTGACACATTTCAATGGGACCAATTTGCAAATGTGCTCACTGAAAATCAAGACTCTTCGGGTTTCAAGTTGGGCACTCCCAAAATCGAGGCACCTAAATCACTAGTGATTTCTGAAAATCTTGGCCACCATCCTTGCGCCAAAGAGCAGACAATCTAAGTGCTGACCTACAGTTGGATCCAGGCAGGCCTAAGGGTTCAGTTATAAAGATCTGATTGTAGGACTGCCTAAAAGAACAACAGTTAGACTAACAATTAATGGCATAGTAAATCTTTACTGTGTCAAATGTAAATCAAAAAACTATGCCAGGTACAACCCATATTCTTGTAAAAGATCATCCAAAAAAAAAAAAACCCAAACAAACCCCACCACCATTCCATATGCCTAAGTAAAATTTAAGAACCAAATGAAAATAAATTAAGATACATAGAAAACACAGTATATTATATCTGGGCAGCTATCTTGTATGCAGTATTTATTTATAGATTTTTCCACATGAGTCTCTCAACATCCATTTAGCCGGATAATAAAATAAACTGAAAATGCCTACTAAAATGATCGAAATGTACATAATGACAATAAGAGAGCCTCCCCACTGAACACTCCCCATCCAAAAAAAACAACAACAAAAAACAACCCAACCCTCAGAGACTGGATTTTCAAAGGTATTTAAGCAACTAAATATATGGATCGGCATCTAGTGGAATTTTCAAAAGCTCTAAACAAGTTAGGCGCCTAACTTCCACTAGACACCTATCTTTATTTTTAGGCACGTAAATAATTTCAAAAATCTGGCCCCAAGTAACTACATATGTCTGGCAGCAACATATTCTGGTTTTGTCAAACCAAAGAGAGAAGCAAACTCCTGAGGTGAAGGCTAAAAACGCATGGGTGTGAAATTCACCCCACTCCAGGGAGCCAGTCAAGGTCCATGAACCATTTACATCCCACATAAGCTCTATTTTGAGGACTTAAGCAGGATTTAAGAAGTGCATAGGCATTGTGAGATCACTCTGCATCCAATGTGAATGTCCTACTCCTACCCCAAGACTTTAAGGACTTTCGGTTTATGGGTCCTAGCTTGACATAAACACACAAATAAAGAGGGGGTCTGTACAATATCCAGCATACAAACTATAGAGACACAGTTCAAAATCAACCAAAAATGAATGGGAAGTGAGTGCACTTTCTGAACTGTCTTATGTGCTTCCCTAATCAAACACCACAAGGGCTTTTGCATGAAGGGCTATTTGGAGGATTTCTCCTTTTTTCAAATAGTCATTTATTGACACTGAGTCAATTTCTGAAGTGTGTTAATAAGTGTCTTACACACAACTAGAGAATTTTCTGATCAGCAGATTTTATAAACTGAAATAAAAAAGAAATTGGGCAACTGCCATTTGCAGCAGTTGAAGTTCTGGAGTGATCTTCAAGCCCTATATGGAGTGTGCTTATATCATCAAATCTGGAGGTGAAAGCAGCATAAATAATGGTTGACATCTCTGCATCATTAGGAATGGTCACACCTATTTAGTCAAGAAAAGACAGAAATAAGAACTCTTGTTCATTGCTGTTTATCTGAAGATCCAGAAGCAGCCAGGGGTCTAAAAGATTTTGGACCTGAATTATAAAAGGCGATACGCCCCTTTAGTTAAAGGGACAGATATCACTGTTTGTCATGTTTGTTTCTCCCTGCATAGCCTCTTGTCTGGCTTAAGACTCAACCCGCTTGCTCTCATCCAATGCTAGGAAACCTGATTGATTGTACTGTCCAGGTCCAAAGAAGTCTGAGAGGTAGTGTAAAAGGTCACCAGCACACCAACGTCATTGTAACACAAATTGTCTCATGGCCTCCCCTTGAGGCCTTGTACACACATTGAACAGAAGAGGTCACAGAATTAAGCCCTGCAATATCCCACACAATACAGCCCTTAGTACAAATGAGTAATGGCATTGTAAGGTTCACTGGGGTTTATTGTGGCCCTTGCTGTTAGGCAAACCAATTACTGGATTTGGCTGAATGTGAGAAAATAATACTTTGCTCGGCACATCTGTAATGACTTGAGGGAGAGACAAAATGGTTTAAAACCATCTTTCTTCTCTCCATATCCAGGTGAAGTTTCAGCCCCCAACATAAGCATCGTTAGGGCTGCTCCAAGCTCCTTTGCTTTTTAATGGTCACTCTTATTTCCATTCCACTTTCCCCAGTGCTTGCATACATCATCTGCCAAGTTACATCTTATTTAGGACCAGATTCTATAAACTGTTACTCTCAGAGTAAGTTGTTTGTTTAACCTCAATTGGACTACTAGTATGAGTAAGAACTACTCATGTGAGTAAGGGTCTATAAGATTGGGGCCCTGGGCCCTGATCCTACACACATTTCTGTACATGCTTCATTTTAGGCATGTGAGTAATCCTGTCAACTTTGTACGACTTCAGTGGGACAACTTACGTTCATAACATTTAAGCAAGTACATAAGTCTTTGTAAGATCAGAGCTTCAGATTGCAAGTTCTTTGGGGCAGAAGCCTCCCCTTCCTCTCCTCCTCCCCACCCCCGCCCAATAAGCACAATACCTATTTATGGTGCTGCATATTATTTTTTAGCAAGAAAGCTCTGGCCAGCTGTGGACTCAGAAATGCAAAATGCAAAATGTATTTAAGTCTTGATTTTCTAATATAATTTATAGTTTTTAGATGGTGAAAGATATTTCACATTGGTTTAATATATGATTGCAATGCAGAGCAAAACATGTTCAATATTCTTTTTAAAATTAGAATTATTATTTGCCTGGTGAAGAAAATTACTATTATTTATTACTTACATTACCATAGCACCTAGGAGCCATAGTCATGAACCAGGACTGCTAGGTGCTGTACAAATACACAACAAAAAGACAAATCATAAGCTCCTTGCTGAAAGGACTAAGTAAATTCTTCTTTGGAAAGAGATTTGATCTCAGTTTGTATGACCAGCAGCTTGATAGCACAACACTGAGAGAATTCACTCTTTGGGGAGTATATTGAGAGAAATGTAAAGGTAACCAATTTTATTCTGTGCACAAATAGTATTAGTTTAATTATGCACCAGAAGGCCACAGCTGACTAAAACCTCTAAGTGTGACAAAAAAAGTCATCACATTTAACAATATTTTTTGTTAAAAAAGAAACAATGTAGAATTTTTCC